GTCCAGAGGATCTTTGAAGTGGCAAAAACTACTATACTAGTGCCATTTCTGGGCACTTTCCAACATTGTGAAAAATCACTGAATTGCGCCAGACACTGTGGCCTAAGACCAAGAATCCAAGCATGGGAGACGATCACCCAGAATCCTGCAGTGGGTGGATGAGAGAGAGGGAGATAGATAGAGAGAAGAGCCACTGACTCCCTTGTGCTCATGTGACATTCAGCATCATGTACACTTGTATTGCAAGACATAAGTCATTTATCAAGTTAAAATTTCTTAGAAATGTTTGCCTGTCTTGCAGAACATTCAAAGAACAAGGTACTCACAATCCAAGGTTTTATAGTAATTCCTTTTGACCTTCAGCTTAGTTCCAGGTATTCCAAGGGCTTGTCAACATTCCTAAAAATGATCCCCCTAATGAAGTGTATGGCTTTATTTTCTATTTGTCAAATGTGGATAAAGACAACTCTCAGGGCAGCCTTGACTGTATCCAGCAAACCTTCTCTAGCTCTGGAGTCTCCCAGCTCAGTTGTCCGGGTCTTATGCCAGATAAAATTACAGTATATGCAACCAATGACTCCTATCAGATGATACGAGAAAGAATGCCTGAGGCAGAGGGGGAGTCCCACAGCCAAAGCACAGAAGTTATCAAACCTGGTGGACCGTATGTAGGGAAAAGAGTGTAAATTCAGAAAGCACCTCAAGCTATTTCAGATACCGTACCTGAGAGGAAACGGTCAACCCCCAGGAAACTTGCAGATATGATTCCAAAGACACAGGGCAGCAGCCGTGTTTCTCACTGGCCACATGGGGACGGTGTGATTTGCTTGCTGGCACTGAAGGCCCACAAGATACCTGAGCAGAAAGATGGCGTCGATCACCAAGATGGGAACTGCCTCGGAGCAATTCTGCAACAGGTAGCCAATCTGAATCCTAAGGGCCTCTCGTTTACCGTAAAGGATTATGTTTTTAAAGAGAGTCAAAGAGACTGACCTGGATACAGTGAAATAAACAGTCATTAGAGTCAGTGCTCTGGAGAAAGCTGAATCTATCACAGAACGCTGCCAGCACCAGCCATTCAGAATCTCCTGCATGTTCTAGTAGCAATGCTGCATCTTCTCCTCAGATATGGCTTTTGGATTCAGATTTCATTGATCCTTTAATGAATAAAAAATCTCAAAGACCTCACCTGACAAAAAGAATGCCTCCAACGTTAAATCGCCCTTTGAATCCCACCCGTGAAAAATCTGCTGCAGGCCCCCTGCCGCCCCCTGCAGCTGCTGCCATCCCTACCCCTCACTACTGCCTTCAACCCACCTGCCCGTCTCCAATCCTCCTCAAACTAAATTCTCACTCTAATTCCCCTAGAACTCGAGAAGGCCAGGGGACTCAAGACCTACCTTTTAACAGTTTTAGTCAAAACAGTAGTATATATGAGGACAGGCAAGACAAATACTCTTCTAGAACTTCTCTGGAAACATTATCCCCTGGTTCAGTTCTACTAAAGTGCCCAAAGCCTATGGAAGGAAACCGTTCAGTCTCACACAAAGTCCAAAAAAGTCTAAAAAACAGAAGGAAAAAGGCCCAATTAAGAAACACAACATTGCAACAACAGAAAAAACGAAGAGGACCTTAAAGGAGAAGAAGGGATTGCCAAGCTGAACAACTTCAGTCCAGTTTCCAATGAAGGAGTTAAAAAAGGTTGTACTGACTCTATGGAGCCTTCTTCAACAATTGCACTCCTAGATTATTTGGTAAAGTCTATTGCTGTCGTCTCCTCTGAGCAATGCCAGAGTTACCCAAGGATGACTTCAATACTGAGTTTGATGAGCACAGACAGGGCCTTGTGTGCCAGGATGGAGACTGTAGGCAGAAGATTTATGAAACTGGATGCCCAACAAAATCAGCTTTATCCGAGCTCAAAAGACAATCAGAATGTTCATGAAGAAGTCTTACAAGAATATCAGAAGACCAAGCAGTCTAGTCCCAGTTATCATGAAGAAAAATATATATGCAATCAACTTCATAACCAGCTGGCTCACCTCAAAACAAACAAACAAACAAACAAACAAACAAAAAACTCTAATAGGTGAATTTGACCCACAGCAAGCAGAGTCATGGTGCTAGACATGTATTTGATGGGTCCAGTTCTGGGCTCTCTATTCCGTTGGTCTATGTGTCTGTTTATGCCAGTACCATGCTGTCTTGATGATTACACTTTTGTAGTAGAGGCTGAAGTCTGGGATTGTGATGCCTCCCACTTTGGTTTTCTTTTTCAACATTACTTTGGCTATTCGGGGGTCTTTTGTGGTTCTATACAAAACTTAGGATTGTTTGTTCTAGCTTTGAGAAGAGTGTTGCTGCAGTTTTGATTGGTTGTATTTAAAGTTCCAAATGAGTTGCTCTAAGATTCTAAAAATGAGACTTTGCTTGCTGAAAGTTTCACTCTTAGTAAACTTGAGTGATTTTCTCCCCATTGGACATTCGTTCCCTACATTTGTGACACGGTTTTTTCTGCCTCCTACCAGTTTATGTGTGTCAATAGAAATATATTTTTTTAATATTGTGGATCCAATGTCACTACTTCAAATGAGTTTTTATTCTCCTTAAAAACTTGTGTTTAGGGGCGCCTGGGTGGCGCAGTCGGTTAAGCGTCCGACTTCAGCCAGGTCACGATCTCGCGGTCCGTGAGTTCGAGCCCCGCGTCGGGCTCTGGGCTGATGGCTCAGAGCCTGGAGCCTGTTTCCGATTCTGTGTCTCCCTCTCTCTCTGCCCCTCCCCCGTTCATGCTCTGTCTCTCTCTATCCCAAAAATAAATAAACGTTGAAAAAAAAATTAAAAAAAAAAACTTGTGTTTATCATTAGAAATGTTTTTTTTTAGATATTGAGAATTCAATGTGTGTACTTCAAAGTTACGCGTGTTTAAAAAAAAAAACCAGTAATGTGCAAGGTGAAAAGGTTTTAGATAAACATAAGCCATTTCCTGCTGTTTCTTAATACCAAGTCTTTGCCTTAAATGGTAGAATATTTAGAAATTTGCACAGAATGCAAAGAAAATATTGTTTCAGAGGGTTAAGGAATAGAAAGGTGTATGAGTATTTGTATGTGTATAGGTATGCACACACACATGTACATACAGACTGATTTGATCTAGAACGGTAAATCCACCCTACAAGTTAACCCCCCATTGCAGTGGTTGCCTTAAGGTGTTTGCTAGTTGTGTACATGGTGTGGTTCATCATTAGCTACACTGCTTCCCACTTGGTTAGAGCATTGGGAAGCATACTGTGCCTCCTGGTGTCTGAAAGTGTGTGCTCAGGCTGCATGTGTGTAGAGGTGGTGTGCATGTGAGCGTGCATCGAGGAAAAAAAATGCTGCTTCTCTCTGTAGGTCAAACCCTCAGGTTAAGCAACTGATGAGTGTTATCATAGGGATTTCTTTTTCTGTCAAATTGCTACTTCTGTTGCAGGAGACAAAAGCGTTTCCGTTTCAACAGCTTGGCAGCTTTATTAATGTTGGGCAAAATCAATCTGTTAGAAAATGAAACAGATCTATAGTTTGGGGGCAAAGTCGTAAAGTTAAACTTGAAGGTAACCTGCTTATACACTGCTACAAAGTATTTTTTGAAGAGAGATATGCAAAGAAACTATTATTGGCATGAAATGTATATTTAGAGTTTTTTTGTTTTGTTTTTTTGTTTGTTTTTTTCATCCTGGGAGCCAGGAGTATAAACAGGAGTGGATACATTTAACCATATCATACCATGAATTCATCAAACAGCACGCACTTTCATTGCATTGAGTTTACCTGTTGATGTTGATTTAAGCTATCATTTGTTTTATCATGTGGGAACATAACTTATGTGGTCAAAAATACAAGGATTTTGAACTAATGTTGATTCAAGTTGTGTTGTCTTACCGTATTGACTTTTCACGGCGCTGCCTGTTGGAAAGGGAAGCACTGTTTGCAAATCTGTTTTGAAATGTTTGTCAAAATTTTGATAGTATCTTTAATAAAGATGTTTGTCTCCAGCATCCAGCAAATATATACATATGGACATACATATATTCATATATACATACCATTGGTAGTTGGTTTATGTGATATATTCAAATAGTGTGTGTATATAAATATTAGTAACATGCTAGGGATATGGCAGTTAGTATGCAGCAAATATTAAAATTTTCTCTCTAGAATACTTTAGAGACAGAGTGATTTTAAATAGTTTGTAATAATAATCTAGGTAATTTTTAAAGTCCACATGTGGAAGTAAATTAAATTGAAATTTTCTTCTACAATCAAGACATTAAGCAATTTTAATTACACAGCATTACTTTCCAGAAGAGTCTTTAGGTATTCTATTTAGTAGTCAGACTTTTATCCTTTGGTATATGTTTTCAGACCTGAGAAAGATACCCATTTCACATATTATCAATACAAAATCCTCTTAAATTCTATATTTATGGCTTTGCTCTCTTACATTTACCATGGAGACATTTCAAATAGTGGTATGATAACTGCCTCAAACTTTTTGTAAGTATCTTTACTTTTCAATATAATTTGAAAGAGTGAATGAAATAATCTAAAGACAAATGAAAGGCTTGATACTTATGTCATTATAAGCAAATCACGAAGGGTGTCCTTAAACTCCTAGTATACATAGGAGACTCATAATTAGATACTGTCACAAATCATTCATGCAATTTTATTGTATTTTTATTTTTTAAATATTTATTTTAGAGAGGGAGAGATGGGAGCACTTATGAGTTGGGGGGTGGGCAATGAGAGAGATGGAGAGGATTCCAAACAGGCTCCATGTTGTCAGTGCAGAACCCAGTGATTAGGAGGCTGTATGCCAGAAGCCATGAGATCATGACCTGAGTTGAAATCAAGAGTTGGACGCTTAACAGACTAAGCCACCTCAATCATGCAATTTTAAGTGAAATTCAGTTAACAGTTAATTGTCTGCTGATGTGGTGATGGGTTGTCTGTTCCCCCAGGTACTGGGAGATAGATGGGCAAACATCTGTAGATGGACAGAAGATCGCTGGGTTCTTTTACAAGACATCCTCCTGAAATGGCAGCGTTTTACCGAAGAACAGGTGAGTCATGTGGGGGAAATTGTGTCAGTGAAAGATATGGTGAGATTTTCAACGGGAAAAAAAAAGCATATGATGATCTACTTTAGTAATTATTTATTTTCTTTTTTGGAATTATTTTATTTCTTTCAGTGCCTTTTTAGTGCATGGCTTTCAGAAAAAGAAGATGCATTGAACAAGATTCACACAACTGGCTTTAAGGATCAAAGTGAAATGTTATCAAGTCTTCAAAAACTGGCTGTATGTATTTTTTAGCGTTCACAACTTTAAAAAAAAATAGTTGACAGTAACACCATAATTTGGTCTCTTTATTATTTCCGATCTTAAACCAAATAAATACTCATTGTTGTGGCTTAAATCATAGTCTGTTCAATTATATCATATTGTAAATTTTATTTAAAATAGGAACAGCTATATTATCTTAGATGGCTTGGGCTGCTATAATAAAATACCATAGACTGGGTGACTTAAACAAATATTTATTTCTCACGCGTATGGAAGCTGGGGAGTCCAGGATCAACCTGCCAGCAGCTTTAGTTTTTGGTGAGGACCCTTTTCTGATTTGCATACTGCACCTTCTTACCTTGTGTTCTCATGGTAGAAAGAGAGGAAACTTTTGGTGTCTCTTTCCCACGTTTATTTTTTTTTAATTTAAATTTTAGTTAACATACAGTGCAATATTGGTTTCAGCGGTAGAATTCAATGGTTGATCACTACATACAACACCCTGTGCTCATCACAAGTGCCCTCCTTAATACCTATTGGCCATCTAGCCCATCTCCTATATTTTTTAAATTAATTTTTTAAATTGAGATGTAATTGACATATCACATTACTTTCAGATGTATAGCATAATGATTCAGTGTTTGTATGTATTAAAAAATGACTGCCATGATTAGTTAACACCCATCACCTCACCCAGGTGCATTCTTTTTCTTGTGGTGAGAACTTTAAAGATCTATCCTCTTAACAACTCTGAGATGCACATTATGTTGTTATTATTAACTGTAGTCACCATTCTGCTCATTACATTCCCCATGCTTATTTATTTTACCACTGAAAGTTTGTACCTTTTGATCAACCTTCACCCATTTCCTCCTCTTATAAGGGCATGAGCTCCAACATGAGGTCTCCACCCTTATGATCTCATCTAAACCTAATAACCTCTCGAAGGCCCCACCTCTTACTACCATCACATTTTATGTAAGTGTGTGAGGGTAAGGTTCAACATCTGAACTTTGTGGGGACACAAACATTCAGTCTATAACATCACACCCACAGACCCCCCCAAATTCATATCTTTTTCACATGCACAATGCATTCATTCTATCTTATGAGCTCCAGAAGTCTTAACTGGTTCCAGAATCAGCTCTGCAGTATAAATTCCAAAGTTTCATCATCATCTAAATCAGATGTGGTAAGACTCCAGGTGCAATTCATCCTGAGGCAGACTTCCTACCTAGCTGTGACACTATGAAACCAGGCAAGTTAAGCACTCCCAAAATATGTTGGTGCATCAGGCAGAGGACAGACATTCCCCTTCCAAAAATGAGAAAAAGGAAAGTAGGAAGGAGTGACAGGTTCCAAATAGGTCCAAAACACAGCAAAGAAAATTCCATTAGATCTTAAGCCTCAAGAATAATCCTCTTTGGACTGATGCACTGCCCTCCAGGACCACTGGAGAAGCAGCCTCACCTCCAGGACTCCACAAGTTAGCCTTGTCTGTTCAGTTCCACGGGGCACCACCCATGTGGCCCTCTGCAGCAGCCCTGCCCAGTGGCTCTGCTCCTGCGGTACTGGGGAGGGGCATCCTGCCCCGTGGACTGGAGAGGTAGACCCACTCTTTGAAACCCAGGAAGCACTAGCTCTGCTCTCTGGGCCTGTGGTGGGAGTGGTATGTCTTCTAACTCGGAATCACCTACATTATTCTTTGCTTTTCTTTAGGAATAGCACATGTTAGACAGCCTTCCTTCATTCTGTCTATTTTTCTCCATTGCTTTTAGTCTCAGCTGGCAGTGTTTCTGTTGGTATAATTCCATCTCTATTCCTGGGTTCTGTTGAGATGGCTGATGAGGTCTCTGGTTCCCACCTACACTAATCTTATCAAGTGGTCAGTCAGCCATACCCTTAGTGTTCTCTTCTGAACATATTTTCTCATTCTTTGCAATATGGATAGGCTGAGGATTTGCCACATCTTTAAATTCTAGTGCCTTTATGCCAAATGACTCTTGTTCTATTCATTTCTCTCTTCTCTCATTTTACCATGGGCAAGAGAAATCATGCCACTTTGCTTAGATATCTCCTCAGCTAAATACTCAATTTCATTGCTCACAAGTTCCACCTTCCACAAAATGCTGGAACATGAACACGATTCAGCCAAGTTGTTTGCCACTTCATAATCAGGATCATCCTTCCTCCAGTTGCCAATAACATCACCCTCATTTTCATCTAAGACCTCATCAGAATGACTTTTGCCATCCATATTTATACTAATATTTTGTCCGTTTTAATTTATGTATTCTCTAAAAACAGGATGCTTTCCAGGTCTCTTTCTCTGATCCCTCAACAGAATTGCCTTTAGGAGTCATTTCACAGCAATCTCAACCTTCTCTAACCTGCACCTTGCAGGTTAGAGCACCTGAGCGCTCTCAGCCTCTACCCATTACTCACTTCCAAAGCTGTATACACATTTGTAGGTATTTGTTACAGTGGTACCCCACTTCTTGGTACCAATTCCTGTCTTAGACATCTCAGACTTCTGTAACAAAATATCACGGACTAGATGGCTTACACGGCAGACATTTATTTCTCACATTTCTGGAAGCTTGGAAGTATGAGATCATGGTGCCAGCAGATTTGGTTCCTGGTAAGGTCCCTTTTCCTGGCTCTTAGCGTCTTTTAGCTGTATCCTCACATAGCAGCAGAATTAGAGGAGGATCCGATGCCTCTTCCTCTTCTTCTAAGGGCACTGATCCCATTGTGGTGCTCTACTCTCTTCTCCTCATCTAAACCCAATTACCTCCCAAAAGCCCATTCTCCTAATATTACCACAGTAGAGGCTTCAGCCCTCATTTCATGAATTTTGGAGGAATACGAACATTCATTACATTAGATGTAGGCAGATTGGCAACTGTGGTTTTCAAAAAACAATTGTACTTTTGAAAAAAATATACCATCCCTGGAATAAGAATTCAGTTAAAATAAAAAGGTAACACTGAGAAGTACATAGGAATGTTCTGTATAGTTCTAAACAGTATGTGGTTCTAAAGTAATAGTCTAAATTAAATTCTTTGAGAAATCGAAGTATAAGAAGTGATTATCCTCACATAAGGGGCCTATACCTTCATTTGGAAAATTAGAAAAAATATTAAAGCAAACCAGTAGCATTAATTATAAGTGCCTGTGTGTTTTGAAAAATAAGGGAACTTTGGCAATAAAAGAACATCACAGAGGGCTTCAATGAGATATTTTAGTTTGAGTGAAAACGTAGAGGATTAGAAAAGACCTCTAAAGCTTCTCTTCCACTGTGAACTTGATTATTTGGCTGTGTAGTAGAGGGCAGTGTAATATTAAGAGCTTAATTTTTCAAATAAAATATTCCAAAGTTAGAATTTCTTCTTGTTGTTTTGATAGAGCGATTCTCTTAAATGCTAACTTGATGTTAACTCTAATATAAAACAAAGGTCTGTTATAAATAACATTTTATAATTTTACCTAAATGAAATGATTTATATCTGTATTGATATTGTATGACATAATTAAATCATTTATTTAAAGCTGATCTTAAATATGTTTCCCCAGTTAAATGTGTATCATTTTCCCAAATATTGATTTGTATCATATATTTTTGCTCCATAGTTACTGATCTTTAGGCTTTTAATTTAAAATTGATTCATAAATATATTGCTTGTCATCACAAGCTAGTTTCTTATGGATGAGAATTCACTCCTCAAACAAGATATACTTTCTGGAGTCATTTGACCACTAAAGACAAATTTCAGAAAAGTGATCTGTATTTGTATCAAAAGAATGCAAAAATGTCAGTGATGTATTTGTAATTTTGTTCCACAGCTGATGAGGAGCTGCTGAGAACTTGATACAATTCATATTTGCATTTTTGGAATACTCTTGGGTAGTAAGGAGGCCAGTTAGTGGAACTGAACTAAGTAGCATTGGGTATGAAAAGGAGGAAGTAGACAAGGTTATTTCAGAAGAGGATATTGAGGCCCAGGGGAAAACACACACACAACACACACACACACACACACACACACACACACACACACACACACACACACGGCATGCATAAACTATCAAAGAGCATTAGTAGCAGAGTCAAATTGAGCACCAAGACATGCAGACTCAGGTCCAGCCCTTTTAAGCTATTTCAGAACTCCTCATATCATTTGGTTCCTTAACAAAAAAAGAACTGTAATCGAGAACCATGATTTCTAACAGTCAAGTACTACTATGTTGACATTTTTGTGAATAAAAGACTTGACTAACCTCAGGACCATGAAAATGCTCAGTAATTATCCAGTATGATTAAAATTCAAATTATGTCACCTTACTTGTGAACAAAGTGAAAATATGTTTTGTATAAGTCTTACCGTTTGATAGTTTAAGCCAATTAACAAAATCTGACAGCTGGTCTAGAATTTGAGGTAAAATTCCCCTGCTGACTCAGGCAGTGAATAAGAATTTAATGTTCATTAAAATATGTCACAATCTGAGACCCAAAACAGGTACCATCTGTCACCAGTTCCTACTACATACCTAGGTATAGATACAGTGTGCTCAAACTCTTTTATTTATAATCAGTGCAATTTGTTTTTGAAATATTATCACTAATAGCCCATGGGATGTTCTCCTACTTTTCATTTGAGGTGGGAAATGAGGAGTCAAGTTTTTCATTTCCTCTTGATCTGTGCTTTTATCCAAACCATGTAGATCTATTATTTTTCACGGTCAAAACTGATTTTTTATTTGATGTAAACAATCAAAAGCAAAGGAGAGAAGAAACTGTGGCCCTTAGGCAGATTCTAAAACAGAATCAGTTAGGCTATCACAGGAAGGCCCAAATTTAAAAGAAATAGGTTCCTGGGTGAGTTTTCTGTTGCCGTGAGGACCTGTGGTGTTTTCCGGGGAAGGACCACCCTGGGAAGCATGGTGGTCAACAGGCCTAGGGTGTGCAGGGGCTACAGCGGACTGTGGAATTGAGGACAGTCTCAAGTGGCTGCGAGCACACGACAGGGTTGAAGTACTTACAGTGGCTCAGCAGGTCCCTGCTGATAGTGCTGGTACCAAGACTTGAAACCTCACCTCCTGTTACCAATTAATCCAAGTAGAATCGATGGTTCTCAAGAAGTGTGGTCCCCAGACTGGCAGCATCAGCATCACCTGAGAACTTGTTAGAAATGCAAATTCTTAGGTTCCATCCCAGACCTATTGACTCAGAGGGCCTAGAAGTTGGGCCCAGAAATCTGCATTTTAGAAAGGCTTCTAGGTGATTCTGATTCCCCCAGGGATTTCCTGGCCTGTTTGTAAGGATACATTCATTTTGCACTTGAAATCATCTTTTAGTGACCACATAGAATATGTCTGTTCTGTCTTCTCGGGCAGCTTATCTATCTCTCGTTCCTCTTTACTACTGGCCTAATCTGGTTTATTGACTGTACCTCCCTGCCTGTTTTGGTTATAGGTCCAACTGCTTGGCCTCTTTGCAAATAAAATATATTTCTTCTTTTAAAATCCTGGGTGACCTCTGCCATGTGTAAATTTTCTAGAGCTTCCTTTTTCTTCCTGAGTTTTCCAGAACTCTGTGGTTCTCTGGCACTCAAACACTTGTAATTAGTTTTTGATAAGCAGAGAGACATCTTTTTTTATACTCTAATAATAAACAGCAATTAAATAATAGTAATTTAATATGTACACATAAAATGGAAGCATCCAGGTGTTGATAGCCAAGGATAGATGGGAGAAGGTACTTCAGTACCGTGATTCAGTGCATCCGGCAGCACCTGGATTTCTTGTCTTCTCCCTCTGTTGGGTGTGGTAGGAGAGTCCTTTGGGTAGTGGGAATTCATGAAGAAAGAGAAAGAAATATTCTCCCAACAAAGGAAACAAACTGAAAACTAACCTGACATCACCATTTTTAAAACTATAGATTTAAAATTTACTAGCTAGAAGCTTTGTTTAGTACAGTGCTCTTGTATGGATTTAGGTAAAAATATGTAAATTCAGTAATTCCACAATTTGATTATAATAATGTTTTTACTTCACCTTGAATCCATTTTTTCCTAAAGGTATTCTTTAATGGTGATTTGACTTCCTTTCCCTTTATTTTTGTGATGCTCACCAAGTGTTTCTTCATTGGGCTTAATCTTCACACAGGAGGCTTACTGTCATTTGCCACTAAATCTCTTTGGGTATCCAATTAGTTTTATAGATCATCTAAGAAAAACTCTTTACATGTTATGAAGTTGCCCATGAATTTCCAACACAAATTGTTTCCTCTTCTTCAGACATAACTCTCAGTTCCTTGTTCTGAAATGTTTCCAAATCATTGCATATTTAGCTTAAATAATGGCATACCCCTTAGCTTTGTGCATACAGCTATTTAAATTAGCTCCTGAGGCCCTGAGAGAGCCAAAGAGGATTGTATTTACATCTTTATATTTTAAAATGCATGCCTTTAATTCTATCATAACCTTTCCCTCCCCCCAAAAAAACCTGAAATGGCTTATAACAAAACAAATACATGCCAAAAATTAAAAGAAAAAAAAAAAGATTAGGATGCCATAAAGGGATTGGAGGAATCTACAAATTCAAATTTGGGTCCCAGCTCTAGACAGGTAGGATAAAGTATTGTTTTATTACTAGCCCAAAATGCATTTAAATTAAATGGAGAGCTAATGTGGATTAAACAAACAAAATCAACATATAAAACCAATGCATTACTAAGTTACTACAGTGAAAGTTTTATTTTGATATGCATTCATCTTATGAATCTTAACTCATTTTGATTTATTGCATTCTTTCAAACTGAGAGAAAACAGTGAAAAAAACCATAATTGTTGAGGGAAAATTAGAAATGAACTTCACAACTAGCTTTTATACCTTAAAAGTGGCATGCACTAGGAATCCAGTATAAAGTACACAAGGTGAAGCAGATTCTGAATAAAGGATGAACTCCCAGAACATTCTTCAGAGCCGTCAGTGCAGGCAGCATGCCAGAATGAGCTACATAAAGTGTCCCTTGCATGGGAGGTGGTATATTAATTTCTCTGTGTACATGACATGTCAGTTCATTAGCAATTGGTACATCTGTTTCATGATCATTTATTTGCCATGTGAAATATTAGTCATTCTTAAATTTGCATTTGTTTTGGAAAGACAGGTCTCACTGTTCACTTTATGTTCATTGTACTTGTTGTGGCGAAAAGGAGGGGAAAAGGAGGGGATTATAGCAAAGAAGCTATAAAATAATTGCCTCTTCTTTCTTTTTGTTCTTTGTTGGCAAGCTAAGTCCGGAACTAGTGTTTGGGAGCCAGAGATTGGATTTCCCAAAGTGTAGGGTGACCTTAATGGATAAAGTGAAAGAATAAGCTGCCCGGATCTACTGATTTCATATAAGCCACTTTGTTTATTCATTCCATTTCAACGAAAGGGCGTGGGTCACCCTCTATAACTCACAAAAACTTTGAAAATAGGGATGTTATCAAAATTACTCCATAAAACACATATGTACTTAGAAAACATATGAAGTGATTCCAAAGGATTTATATCACACTCAGTTGCTTCGTTCTATTACTTAATGGGCTTTTAAATTCGCTTTAGAAGATAATTACTCAGATAGCCAAATGTTAATTGAATAACAGATACTAAAAAAATTTAAAAGTAAACTTCCCTTTGAGTAACACTACTTCTTTACTTGTGAGTTCCTCAAATATTTCTAAGTAGCTCCTAAGTTTCTCTACTAGGTGTTTTTCTACATCTGACTTTTATTTTTCTTTCTCTTCAAGCTTCTTGGGAGATTATTTGGATTATAATCTTCTACTTAGATTCTTATGGGCTCTTGCTCCTTTGCAGGCATGAATACAGTCTTTTTGTATCTATGCAAATGAGAAAATACATGCAAAAACAATTTGAACTATACTGTTTTATAAAATGTTACGAGGCTTATTATGTATTCTTTCCTGTTTTAACAGGTTTTAAAAACAGATTTAGAAAAGAAAAAGCAAACCATGGACAAACTCTGTTCACTCAACCAAGATCTTCTTTCAACCCTGAAAAACACGTTGGTAGCCCAAAAGATGGAAGCATGGCTGGACAACTTTGCCCAGCGTTGGGATAATTTAGTCCAAAAACTTGAAAAAAGTTCTGCACAGGTTAGTGATCCTAATTACTTACCCTGTAATGAATCATCTTTGAGATTCTTGAAATCCTCATTCAAGGCAACAGTATTATAACTCTACAAAGGATATCACTGGATTAGTCCTTGCAAAGTAGTCATTTGAATAAAAAGTATGGCTTGTCTTGTTAGTGGACAATGTGGGAGAGGTGAAGGAGTGAGTGCTAATTGACTGAACTAGTTCTTGCCTTAGAGTGTAATTCCTTCCAGTTAAGTGGGAATGAGGATCTGAGTGACTTAGAGCAATTGGACCGAGTGCTGGGGACTGTGTCATCACAACCTGACCCCAAATCACAGATTCTAGAACCTTGAGTGCTGTTAGTTGATCCCTACATTTTACATGTGAGAAAAATGAAACGTAGGGAGGAAAAATGAATTGTCCAAGCGAAGTTGGTGATAGGAGCACGGCTCAGGCCCAGGTCCTTTGATTTTACTGAAGACTCTGTTTTATTAGGATGAGTAAGGATCTGTTCATTGCATGTTCTTTGTGCCACGAACAGTTAAATCATAACACTAACACACAGGCTGTGGATTAGGAAAGCATCTGTGTACCCTTGTAGTGTCATAATGTGGCTTTCTGGTAAGACTTTTAAAAGTTTTGGTAATTCAAAGGAAATGGGATGATTTTAAAGTAGAAACCTTTGTTATCTGATGTTATTAGATGGTGGAATTGTGGGTAGTCATTCAAAATATTAACATTATATATAATAGCATTTAACACATTATGCCATATTATTTTCCATTATAGAAGCTAACTTTTGCTAATCGGTTGTAGTCCATAGCTCAAAGCACCATTAGCACATCTCTGTGAAAGCTATGACCACATTCGGTAGCTTTAGGCATTCATTTCCTTTGTTATGAGACAGTGAAGGGAATTTGTTTTCCTGAGACTTGACATTTGATAAGTATGAAATGTTTGAAATGTTTGTTGAAAGATGAAGTTTAAAATATTTCTTCCAGAAATATAATTTAAGAAAATGTTACCAGGCAATGTATACGATTTTCAGTCACAGTTGAACTTTCCTTTTGAAATTAAATTCATACTTAAAATTTTAAATTTGAAGGAGTGTACATTGTAATCATTTCCCATGCAGTCATTGGACATTAATAAAAATTCCATGAGTTTTCCAGTGAATATATTTTTAGCATTTGCTTGAATGAGTAGTGATTTTATAACCATGTCATAATTCTTCTTACTATATATGATCTGGCCATGGCTAGTTTGCATTAGCACTGGAATTTATGTAATAAATATGTGAGACATGAGAACATTTGATACTTTTTAAATCAACAATGATATCATTCCAATATGTGCCCATTGGTTCTGTAGATTATTGGTGCTACAAAATGGTCGGTTACCATGTTAAGAAGGATTGGCATTACCTTATAAAGAAAACTGTTTAGAAATGCATCCCTTTAAAGGGTTACGTTTATGGAGATGTAACTGTTAACAGTAGGTCATATTCTTGTTCACTTGTATTATATCTAGTGCTTTTTAAACTTGAGTCTGCATAATAATCACCTGGGAAACTGATTAAAATGCATAGTCCTAGATTGCATGCTCAGAAAATCTCACTTAGTAAACCAGTAATCTGCATGCAGCCTTCGATAGTCTGCAGACCATATTTTTACTAAACACTGAGTTAACAAGACAGTGACACATTGAGCAATACCCACGTTGTGGTTTACTTCCACAGTGCTGCCTGAAATGGGGAAATTGGAGACCTTTCTATGACTGCAGTATTTAAATATACTTATCTCTTTGGAATGAGCCTACTTTCTAAAAAAAATGTTGTGCATATCATCAAAATGTTACTGATTTGTTATTCTAGTTGGTAAAAAACCTTAGCAACCTTGTTTTTAATGGCCTAAAATTATAAGACTACTGCCTATGGTACTTATTCACCTTCCTGTTTTTGAAATTTTCAAAACCTATAATAAAAAACCACTAGTTCTGGTTCATACAGTTCTTTATAAAATGATGTCCAATATACAGTACAGCATGTATCCACTGTATTTGCCAATAAAATAAAGTCACAGACATGAAAGCATTTTGGAGGAAAAAAAAAAACACTGGTGTTCTTGATATATAGGGCATACTGTTCAGTGAGTCTGGAGGGCTTTTTGTGATTCACTATGTTTTTTTTTAATTTTTATTTTCAAACATTTATGCACTACTATACCAGATCGTAAGCAGATACATAGACTTATATTAGGCAGGTTGCTTTTTGGAACACTAAGCTTCAGCTTTTCTACAGTTCGATTTCTGGTTTTGTTCATTGCGCCCCCCCCCCCCCCTCCAAAGTAACTATCATAGGCCCAGTCCAAATCACTGCTGAGGTGAGTTGGGAGTCTAAGGAAGATAAAAATGAAGGTACCCGAGGACAGAGGAATTGAAAGGGAGATAGAGCGAGCCATGAACTAGTATCTTATAACTAAAAAAGCCCTTGAATTTCTTCCTTGCGTGTAAAATTGAACTTGATTGAAAGAACATGGGAAGACGTCCAAGAATGTTGAGGGTAAGGTTGTGACTTTGAAGAACAAAGCTCTCTTGTATGCACGTTTTCCAGCATGTTTGCAGGAGTAGAGATGTTGTGAGAATCAGTCCCATTAATGACATGATATACTTAGTCTTCTAAAAATCCTTTTTAGAATTAGTTTAAGGAATGAGGAAAATCTGGTAATGGTTAAAATCCAGCAGGATATAGGAATTGTGACTGAGGTGAGAGGGTATCCAATCGTGGTGACATTAAAGGACATGTGTGCCCGAATGTTTGAGTGCTATTCAGGTCAAAGCTTTGAGGGATTTTGACCTTAAGAAATCGTAACATGGCAAGAGATCAAAATATGAAGAAAAAAATCAACTGTGAGGCTGTTCTCTTGCATTTCAAAGTCAGGGCTGGCTTGACTAATGCCTGGACACAAGCTCAGGACGCTTAAGTTGATAAAAAAGGTGGCGTAAGAAAATAGAAATACTTTCTGTTCCCCAAAGTTAGGAAGAATAATAACCCTTGCCATGTGAATGCTTAAGATGAGAAAAGACAACAAATCAAATAAACTCTGGATTGACTTATTTAAATACTCAAATGACCCTCTGTGTCCTCTCCATTTTTTTTATAAATATGCTTGTTGAAATTTCGTTTTTTTTTTTTTCTAAATGCTGTAACACTGATGAATGTATTTTTATCTTGATTATAATTAGGGGATAGGATAGTCAGAAGTTCATTATAGTTAATACTTTAAACTTACATATAATTTTAGTGATTTGAAACATTTTTTCCCCATTTAACTGAAATCATACATACCTCGGAAAGGGCATAATAGTCATGTACTTTATAATGTATTATGGTAGTTTAAGTTAAACTTGGCATTAGGTGTTTAAATGTAACAATATATCTAAACGAGTCCAAAAGTTCCTTAGTTTTGTCATTTTTTTAGCAGAGTAAATTATCTTCTTTGTCAAAAGTAAGGGACATTTTATGACACATACAAATTTACACATCTCATTCCCATTTTGTGAATATTTTGCTGTATTTCTATTGACCATTTTTGCAATGTTCTGAACTATAAGCACAAATATCTTAAAGATAAAATGAATATACCTAGGATTCTCCTCTCCTTGAACATGAGAGTACATGTTTATGCTGTTATTTCTGTATCTGTAGTTACAGATGCCCAAACGGAGTAAGTGATCATTATGTATGTATATATCTATTCTATAACATTTGTCTCCTGCTGGGAGTTTTAAAACTCTTGCCAGACATATGAATTGTGTAAAATGTGGTTGAACATAATAAGCCAGTATTTTTAAGAATACCAGAAATGCAAATGGCACATTCAAAAGTATTAAGATTAACATTTCTCTATTTACTTTTTTTTTTAGTTCATTCTCATTTTTTAGAGATCCCTCTTTTTATTCTCCACAAAATTTTTTACATGCACATTCTGACTGTGCCCACTCTCAAAGCATTGTTTTGTAGATCTATTGATACTTAAAATGTAGTTAGAATTGGTTTGCCTCTCTTCTTTTTGCCAATGATTTTAATTCACAACACTCTAAGGCCTTTCCATTGACAACCCTTTTCATTGGTTCTTGAAAGTTCTCTAAGCCTCATCAAACTGATGCCAATTTAAATAATGGTTTTATAAAACCTAGAATTAAAAAAAAAAATCCTTCACTTATTTTAGGTTTCTATCTTATTCAAGGACTACCTGAATTCATAGACTAACCATCTTGAATTTTAGTTAATTGTTTAGGTTAACAGTTATATCAGAAAACTTCCAAGTTACAGCTCAAATAACTTTGGAAATGAACTGTATTCTTTTCCTACCTCCAACTAAAGTAGGTGTTTGAGAATTGCCCTTGTCTATCAGTGTAATAGTTACTGTTATAAATTCGTTGTCTACGATAACATGATATAGGCACTGAAAATTTAAGAGACAAGAGCTGAGTTAACTTTTGGAATCTCTCATTACTTCTTTATAAAAAGGGAAGTTTGGGGTAGGAAGATTTCCATAACAGTATCCTTCCAGTTCTAAATGCATGTGATATGTTTCTCTTTGTTTGAAATTTTATATAAAACTCTGGAGTAATTAGTGAAGAATTTCCAACTATCTCTGCTATATCAGTCTCACTGTCAGCTGGAAGATGATAATGAAAATACACTTCTCATCCTGTAAAAGAAGACTGACTTCTGAAATGAGTATATTTCACTCATCAGGAGTATGTGATTAAGATACATTGAAAATAAAATAATCAGTATCTATATGATATATTTATTCTTTATAGACAATAAATGAAATACCACATAAAGAAAACATAAGTTTTTGTCTCAGTGTATACTTGATCATCTGCATCCCTAGTTAAAGAAGGTGTTTCATTACTTCATGTCAGGTGGATCAGAAAAAATAAATTTCATTGCTCCTTGAATTTTTGCAGATGCACTTAATTCACACAGTTGCTCAAAATCAGTGTTT